GGATGTGGGGATGGGATAGACACCGCCAGCATTGGCTCCCCGAGCAGTGACAGACGCTACGTCAAGGCTTTAGGGCGTGGGCACACAGGGGCCTCCCCGACGTCCCACCCCCTGTGCACACGCCTCACATCCCATGGCCTAGCGGCCGAGTTTGGGCAGTTTGTGTCGACCTTGGCTGTGTCTGCAGAGGGAGATGAGGCTGCCCGGCCGGAGCCGGTCCAGCCCGGGTTCTCCTGCGGGTCCCCTCAGCCGGGGCTCTTGTGGCTGATGGGCTTGCAGGAGTTTGCACCCTGGACTGGGGTGTAGTTTGATTTTCTGTGTTGAGTCAAGGCTGTAGAAGTCTGTTCAGGGCTCTTAGCAAGGGTGTGCCCGGGAGTGGGGGAAGCGCAGGCCAAAGCCGGAGACTGGAAGGGCCTCCGTTTCCTGCGGAGGGAGGGCTGCGTGGCCGTGGACCCTGACTCTGCTGACGCCCCGCCCGCCTGTCTGTGCAGAGAGGCCGGACTTCACGGATGCCATCATCCTCCGGAAAGGGGCCTCTGTGGAGCACGTGGTGAGTTGAGGAGACCTGTCCAGGCCGGGGTGGGGGGAGCTCTGCCCATCACCCGGGGTCCTGCCTGACGTCTTCCCGGCCCTCAGCCGCCGCGTTGCAACTGGGTGCTTGGACGCGTGTCCTGCCACCCAGCTGCAGTTAGGGGGCGGCGTGGAATGGGGTCCAGCAGGTAAGGCACTTGGCTTGCTGCCCGGTGCGGGGAAGATGCCTGGGAAGCGGTCGTCACCGTCCTGTCCCACCAGGGCTATGGGGTCCTCGGGGCCATTCAGGCGTTCGGTCAGTAGAGCTGCCGTCCAGGACGATTCTGGCTTGTGCATTCCCAGTCGTGTCTCCCCCATGCTTGCCTCCACTCAGCCCACCCCCCGCGCAGCCCGCCCCTCCACGCGCCCCATCGGCTCCGCCCTCGGGGGCTCAGTGCACCCAACATGCTAGTGAGCGTCAGTGTCCAGCCGAGTAGCCCCGGTTCCTGCCGGAACTGGGGTCCTTTGGGGTCAACAGATGCCAGCCACCCAATCCTGCAGCTAAACAGTCCCACACCGAGGGGAGTGCAGTGGGGGGTGGCCGGCAGCACGCTGGCACATGCCCTGGCCCTCTCAGGCCCTCCCAGGACGTGGGGCTTCCGCCACACCTGGCGGGAAAGCTGGAGAGGCCAGGAGCAAAAGGCTGTTCCAGGCAGTGGGGCAGCAGGTGCAAAGGCCCGAGGCAGGAGTGAACATGGACTGTGGGCCTTTGGCTGCCAGCTGGCACGGAGGGTCGCAGGGTCGAAGGCAGCAGGTGCTAGAAGGTGGGGAGGGGCCTGGGGAGGCCTTGGTTCCAGAGCCTGGATCTTGTCCCAGCAAGGCCTGCCTTGCAGGGCCTCAGCCCCTCCTGGATACTCACCTATCACAGGTGCCATGCTGTGCACACAGGCCTGCCTGGGTGCTGACCACAGACCCAAAGTAGAGAAGCCAGTCAGACATGGGGTTGCACCCTGGCGCCCACATACTAACATTGAGGGGTAACCTCATCTGGCGGTAACGGAGCCCCCAGGGCCTTTGCAATCCACCTAGTGGAGCTGACAAGAGCCTTGCCTGCACAGGATCATGGGCCATAAGCCCCAGGGGCAGAAGGGATCTGGCAGGGCCGTCAGGGGTGAGAGGCACTGTGGGCTTCAAGGGTCTCCCATCCACAGACAGTATTAAAAAGGATGACCTTAGGGGACTTCCCTGGTGGTCCAGTGGTTAAGACTCTGCGCTTACACTGCAGGGGGGGCGCAGGTTCAATCCCTGGTCGGGGGACTGAATCCCACGTGCTGTGGGGTGCAGCTGAAAAATTTAAAAAAGGAAAAAGGTGGCCTTGGGCGGCCTTCCATCCTCCCTCATTGCTAGAGACACAAGTGCATAGGAACGCTTGTCTCCAGGGAGAGCCGTGGAGCAGGCTCAGTGGGAAACAGCTCCTACTGACTTTGGTGTCAGGGATGCCAGGGCACGATGGGACCTGCAGCAAACTGGAGGGCACCCTCCCCATCTGTCTAGAGGGCTCCCAGGGTCCCGGGACGACCCTGCAACCGTATGACCCTGAGCTTGTCAGGCAGGTCTAGTTCTGTCATTCGGGGGCAAGCTGAATAAAACGTCAAGCGCATTTGCAGGCCAGAGCGGACCTGGACCGTCAGATGTCGTCTTTTGGTCTAGAAAACAGCGAGTGTCGGGACGGGGGTGTGTGTGTCTGCACTCGTCCCCGCCGGCAGCGTCCTCTGCTGTGGCCACGCATGCTTGGTCACCCAGGGGAGGCCCAGATCAGGATGGCCCCCCCGGAAACGTTCCTGCAGGCCTGATGTCTGGGCTCAGGCATTTGGTCTCTGCCCAGGGCCTGTGAGGCTGTGGGCACGTGGAGGACAGGCGACGTCGCACTATCCTCACCCCGGCCACCTCCACCGCGCCCACCCAGCCCGTGCAGCCAGGGGGCCACATTCTCGGGGGGAAGAGCTGGCTGCCCTCCAAGTTCTTCCCTTCGGGCCTCCTAATAGTGCTGGGTTCCTGTGACCTTCGTCCCTACTCAGGAGTGCTACAGGACGTGGGCCATCCTGGGCTGGGGGGTGACGTGTTATGTGGGAGGTTCCGGGTCAGGGCGGCAGGAGGTGAGAGAGGCAGGCCCTGGGGGGACCCTGACAGCCGCCCTCATCCATCTGCCAGAGTACCTGTCAGGGCTGCCTTTCCAGCAGGGTGGGTGGGCGGGCCCAGGTCCTTCAGTGGCTGCGGCCCCGTAGAGGCAGGAAGCGGGAGCGCCAGAGCAGCTGTGAGCACAAGGCTGCGTGGGGACCGCCAGAGCACCTGCCCTGGGCCCAGCTGCTTCTGGGCGCACCATTCGTCTCTCTCCCATCCCCCAGTGCCACCGCATCCACCGGTCACTCGCCAGCCAGTTCAAGTACGCGCTGGTGTGGGTGAGTCTTGGGCAGGAGGCGGGCAGGGTCGCCCGGGGCAGCCTCAGGGTCAGGCAGGAGCTCCCGTCCTTCCGCATGGGGACTGGGCTGTCCGTCAGTCCTGCTCTGTGGGGTGTGTGGCTTGCATGCTGACCCAGACCAGACACGGCCCTCCCACTTTGGGATCCGGGCCAGGGGGACCGCTGGGGGTCCTGCTGTCAGAGGCTGCGGGGGCTGCTGGTGCTGGGACCCCCACTCTAGACCCCCCATCGGCACCTCCACCCCCTTCCAGTGACACTGTCAGCCTCGGCCGGGTGGGTACAGAGGCCGATGTGGTCCCCCGTCCCGCTCCCCACTCAGGGCACCAGCACCAAGTACAGCCCGCAGCGGGTGGGCCTGACCCACACGGTGGAGCACGAGGACGTCATCCAGATCGTGAAGAAGTAGGCGGTCCGGCCCGGCCCCCGGTGGGGCTCCCCTGGGGAAATACAAATGCACCCCGGGAAGGGGGCTCTTGTGTCTGCTGCCGGCAGAAATTTCTTCAGTGGGCAGATGGCGGAGAGCACGCTGGGGCCTTAGGACGAGGTTGGGGCTGGGCTGGGCTGGCGGTGTTTCCCATGAGACTGGACTCTGGAAGGGGTCCTATTTGGGTCCCTGGGCCTGCACCCTCTCCCCCCACTCCCCGCCCCTTCCAGTGCAGAATGAATGAGCAAGCTGCCCACCTGCCCCAGCTAGGGCCCAGTGCACGTGGCTGGCTTGATGCCGGGCAGGGAGCTGGGCCTACCTGGGTCCCTGGCGGCCCCGCAGCTCCTGCCAGTTTTTCTGCTTCTCAGGGAGGGGCCTGCCCAGGACAAAACCCCCTATCCACCCCCCGCCCCAGGGCTGCCCCGTGATGGAAACCAGAGATCTGGGGCTTTAAAGGCCCAGCTCACGCCCTCCACGGCCTGACCAGTCCAGAAGGGCCACCCCCTCCCAGGGCGCCCCCTGCCCAGCACAGAGCCCAGGACCCAGCCCAGTGCAGATACCTGGGGTGGTGGACTTGGAGTCTGGGCTCTGCGTTTTCTCTAAATAGCACCCCGCCCTGCACCCCCAAATCTCTCAGCTCTCCTTCCTGAAATAAAAAGTGGAAACAATGCCTGTTCACTAAGGACAGTTTTGTGAGTTTGCTGAACTGGGTTGCCAGGCTGGGTCGGGGCAGCAGTGAGTGTGCAGAGCCTGGGCCTTGGGGGAGCAGGCCCAAGCCTGGGGTTCAGGGGGGCCTCTGTGAGGAGTGATGCGAGGCGCCGTGCGGGCCTGCGAGCAGCCTGGGCTCCAGGGGCAGTGACTTGCCCTCGGCTACACAGCTTGTGAGCGCAGAGCTGGGATTGGAACCCCAGTTGAGGCTGCTGAGCCAATGAAGAGACTTCCTCCTGGCCCTGCAGCCTTTGGGGCAGGTGGCAACAGGTTTTCAGAGGCACTGGGCCAGCAGGTGGGACAGAGCCCCGGGGGCTGGGGTGTGGAGCAGGCCCACTGCCCAGCTCTCCCGGCTGTTCTTGGCTTCTCTGTCAGCGGCTCAGGCTCCTTTCCGGTGACAAAACAGGAATAATAGACATTATTAAATATGCATGGGGCCCCAGGCGGGCAGCGTGGTGGGCTGGGCTTGCCGCCCAAGATACAGACACAGCTTCTCCACTGGCAGCCGCATTCCTGGGGCCCGGCCGAAGGACCCCCGTCGGGCGGCATGCGGGCAGGGAGCAGGCCACTGGACCCAGGTGAGGTGACCCGGCCCTGGACCCCTGGGGTCTCTGACTAGCACCCCCAGGCGGAAGGGGGAAGGGGGAGGGGGTGGTGGCTGACCTGTGGCCTTGCTCCCTCACTGTGAGGTCTGTCTCAGCCTCGGCTTCTTCATCTGTAAAATGACATGATCGATGCCCAGCGCCGTCCTCTCGGCGACGGTGGGCTGCTTACGTTGGCCCCTCCTCCTGCCACAAGGCCTGGCCACAAGGTCCCAAGGGAGGGTTTCTGCCTGGGTGATGGTCATTGCCGCTTCCTGCCTCAGGTTCACAGGACGTCAGATCCAGGCCTGTTGTGTCCCCCAAGCAGGCTGGGAAAGGATGGAGATAAGGCTAGAGGTCTGGGCCTCCTTGGCCAGTGTGGGCTGGGGAGGGGCAGGGTCTGAGGCTCCGGTCTCTCCCATGGGTGGGCTTGTTTCCAGGGCAGTCTGTGCGTCTGTGATGGGTCCTTGGCCTCTCGGATCTGTGGTCAGCATGGTTAGGCTGTCCAGCCTGCACGAGGGTAGGTCGGCATGAACTGGTCTCTCGCAGCGCCTCGTGCTGGTGAAGCCCCCCAACACCTCCCAAAAGTCCCTGCCCCACACCACCAAGGTGCACCCCAAGGGTCAGCCCCTGTCCCAGGCGCCCCCTATTGCCATCACTCATCCTCCTGGGCCTTCTGTGCAGGGAGGCTCTGGCCAGGGTGACCCAAGGTCCCTTCGGCTCAAACGGCCTGTCTTTATGAAGGTCAGCAGTACCCACACGTCCCTCTGCCCTGGCTGCAGGGCTGCGCTCGCAGGGGGCCTGGCCTGCAGCTTTACGAGACTCGGGTGCCAAAGGGCTCAGGACACAGATGTCCATCCACGTCCCCGTGTTCGTCCCTGTGTCCCTTCCTCTCCAGCTTAGACTCCCCACTTCCTCATCTCAGAAACCTTCTTTGGCAAAAACCCCTAAGCTCATCTGTCCTCCTCAAGATCCCATCTGGCCCGGCCCCGGCGGGGTGCTTACACCACCCAGGGTGGGCGTCTCCCTGTGCCGCTGACAGCCTCTGAAACGGCCCTGCCCCCTCGAACCCCGGCTGGAAAACTCCCAACGCCCTGCACTCATCTGCAGCCACCCCTCCCTCCACAATGGAGAGGCCACCTCAGGGCCTTCACTCCTCTCGCGTGCTCTCTCCTGGGTCTGTCCTGAGGATTTGCCAGTGGGTCTGTGTGACTCATCCTCCTGGGCCTGGCCGGGGCCACCATAACAAAGTACCCAGGCTGGTGGCTTAAACAATGGACAAGATGTTCTCATGGTTCTGAAGGCTGGAAGTCAGAGATCGAGGTGCCCCGAGGCCTCACTCCTTGGTGTGCAGACGGCCGCCTTCTTGCTGGGCGATCCCCCACTGAAAACACACTCCTCCCGGATGCATCATTCCCTGTGGCCACCCCCTCCCCCCACCGGTCACGGCCTGGCTTCCCCATGTCCACCCTCTGCCCTCAGCTTCCCCAGCGTGCTGCCAGAACAGCTCCTGCCAAGGCCACATGCCACCCGCTGCGGAGCTGTGAGGTTTCTAACCTCGTTCCCCTGGGCCCCTCCTCGGCAGCCCCTCCCTGCCTCCTTGGCACACAGTCCTTAAGGCCGGAGTTGGGGTCCCCCCTTCTCGCTCTGTCCCTCTCCTAGACAGCCTCGACCCTGTCACCCCCGACCTGCGGGGCTAAACTGCCTCCCCAACTCTCCACCTGGATGGCCCACGGTCACCCCAAAACTCTCTGCATCTCAGACCAAACTCGTCATCTTCCCACACCTCCCACCTGGCCTCAGGCACCAGGCCGGCCCCAAAGGCCCCACACAACCCTCTCTGGGGCTGCCCACTTGACTTGAGCGTGTCCCCCGCCACAGCTGACCCCGCCACAGCCACTGTCCCCCGCGCCCCATCCTCCACACAGTGGCCCAAAATCTCTTGTCCAGGACGGCCACGCAAGGAGCAGCGTGACGCCGCAGGTGAGCGCGGGACGCTCTGGAGCCAGGCGGTCGGGTCCTCGCTGTGGGCCCTTCGCTCAGCGACCTAACCTCCCTGAGACGTGTTTTATAGACCCTTCATCTACACAGCAGGAACGGCAGCTTCCACCTTACGCACTGTGAGGATCTAGTGAGATCCTGGGGGAGAGCATTTGGCCCTGAGCCCGGCACGTCGGAAAGCTTGGCAGTACTGGTTACTTTAATTTCCAGACCTGCTCGCAGCATCCCTGACAGCTCAAAGCCCTGCCACGTTCGCTGCTGCCATAGAGATGGAGACCACAGTCCCACCCCAGCTCCCATTCTGGCCACTTGCCACTCCACATGCCCCACGTCACTCCACCTCTCTCACCACCTGGCCTTTGCACATGCTCTTCCCTCTGCCCCAACACTGTTCCCTCTTCCATCTGATTAGCTCCCTCATCCCTCAGATCTTGGCTCAGGGTCAGAAACTCAGGGAACCCCCTGGCCTCCCCATGCAGCGTCCGCCCACCTGCGTCGTGGCCTGGCCTTCACGGCTCTTCCCACGGCTGTAGCTCCCCCCTTGTTGGTGTGGCTTTTCGCTTAACATCCATGTCCCCCTGACACTGGGAGCTGAGTGGGGGCGGAAGCCATGCCTGGTTCTGCTCGACTCTGTGGCCCCCTGGAGCCCAGCACGGTGCCTGGCATGTGGCAGGTGACACATGAATGAGTGAGAGACTTGTTCCCTGACACCTGCTCTGTGCCTGCAGCAGAGGCCAGGGACACCAAGATGGAGGCGGGACCCTGAACCAGCCAGAGAAGGGGGCTCCCCTTAGAGACTGCAGGGTGCAACCCCCACCCCCCGGCTCCACGTGACATTTGAGGAAAGTGAGGACGGGAGGGGGGCCCAGGGACACCGCCTGGAGCCACACCTCTGCCTGCCCACACTGGGGGTCCTTGGTGGCCTGTGGTTTGCCCAGGAGAACAGCTGGGAGGCCAGCACTGGACGCTGGCCAGCGACTCACCGGGCTGCAGCGAACCTCAGGCAGGCATCTTTGGGCTCCGAAGCCCACTGTCCAGATGAAGAGACCCAAGCTCAGAGCGGCCAGCCCAGCCATAGGAGCGCCCACGTTGCTCGGAGAAGGAGCCTAGGGGTTGTGAGGGGTGGCTCGGAACACTGGGTCGGTCCCATTCCTGTCCTGGATGCAGCCTCTGCCCTGGGCTCCTCAGCTGTAAGTGTGGGCACTAGGGCACCCTCCGCTCCTGGGGCCAACGGGAGCCTTCACGAGATAAACAGAGAGCCAGGCACAGGGCCTGCGGAGACTAAGCTGCTCTTATTATTGTTATCACCGACATCGTTATTCCAGGCCGCGGCTCCTCTCTGCTCTGGGGAGCTGGCCTGGGTGACAGCCGGCAGCAGGGCCTGCCCACACCACCCTTCTGGTCTCTGGGGCCAGCTTGGCCCCAAACAGTGCAGCCCCAGGCTCACTCCTAGGGCCTGTCCTCCACGTGCACCCACCCCCTGGTGCCATCCTGCCGAACCGTGGCCTCAGCACCACCCAAACGCCGCTGACTCCCTGACAGCTGTGCAAGTCCCGCCAACTCCCTGGACGGCGGATGTCCGAGATCACCACGTGCAGAGCTCCACCCACGGCCTTCCTCATCTCCACTGGCCGCCTCCACTCTCCCGCCTGCTTCAGTAAGGAAACCGTGCAGGTACTCGTGAGTTGCCTGCAGGCTCCACCTGCAAAATATACCAGCATCCCAGCACTCTGTCCACCGCACTGCCCCAGCCTGGCCCAGGCCCCAGTGTCGCTCGCCCGGACCGCCACGGTAGCTCCCACAACAGCTACCGCTTTTGCCCTCAGCCCCTGCCATCCGTCCTTCCTGTGGCAGCGAGAGGGATCCTGTGAAGACCAAGGAGGTCCAATGCCATCCCTTCTCTGCCACAGCCGTGGCCAAGTCCTCACCCCGACCTCTGACCTCTGCCCCACCCCCCGCCTTCGCCCCTCACTGCACTCGGTCACCCTGGCCTTGCTGTCGCTCCGTCACATCGGGGCCGCTGTGCCTCCCCCAGGCCTCCCTCCCTCCCTCCCCTCCTGCAACTCTTGGCCCCTGTGTCACTTCCAGGGCACCTCACCCGGGCCCTGTTCGGTGCTGTATACCCGAGTCTCGGTGCCGCGTCCCTGCGCTATTTCAATGCCAGCACTCACGCCATCCCACCGGTTGTATCTTTCACTCACTCTCCTTGTTTGTTGCCAGTCCCCGCCCCCCAGAATGCCAGCGCCACGAGGGCAGGTTTCTGTTTCCTTAGCTGTGTCCCCAGTGCTTAGACAGCGCCTGGTTCATGGCAGGCTTCCAGCAGATGCTTCTCAACAAATGAATGAACGGACAAGTCAGTGCATGCTGTCCTGAGGGACAGGGGCCAGGCTGACCAGGAGTCCAGGTGGGGCCCAAGCAGGGACACGGCCTGGGCGACCTCCACCAGCACATCAGGGCCTCTGGCTTGCTCAGTGGCTCAAGTAGGGCCCTCTGCCCCAGAACTCCTGGAAGGCCCAGACTCTGGGGTCAGCCCAGCTAAGCCCCTGCCTCTGGCCAGTGTCCAGAGCTGTTCCCGTCCCACACGATGGCCCACATGCCCAGGAGCCCAGAGGTGAGGAAGGCCTAGCACTAGCAAGAAAGGTGGCTCCGGACCGTGCAGACCTGGGTTGGAGCCTGGTTCCAGGGTCCCAAGCTGGTTGACCTTCGACAAGTCACTTCACCTCTCCGAGACTGTTTCCTCATCTGGAGAAAGGAGGTGACAGTTCCCACCCCACAGCCCATTGTGAGACTCTCTTGAGATAACAGTGGCCAGGCCTCAATTTGGAAACCAGCTCCAGGAGGGGCAGTGGGGGTCGCAGTGTCAGCATCTCTGGGCTCAGAAAGAGTGAACCCCCTGCCCCACAGCCCAGAACAAGGCAGGAGAGCAGGCAGCGTCGGAGGGGGTGATGGGGGAGTGGATGCCCCCTCGAGACCCCATCCTGTGGGGGCCCAGTTCCCACGTGTCCCCACCCCCGGAAGCTGCCTGATTGCCGGCCTTACCAGGCACTGCGGGGACCGAGAAGCCCCCTTCTTGCCCTGCCTTCTCAGCCAGCAGCCTGGTTCTCCCCGATAAATTATTCACGCTCCCAAGGGCCGGCCAGCTCTGGTTACACTGACCGCAGCCCTGGGCACCTGCCATGCCCACCACCCTTCCCCCCTTGCCCAGGACCTGGAGGGGGGCCCAGGTTCCCCCCGCCTCCAAGGTGACTTGGTGGTCTTTGAACGTCCCACCCTGGCTCCGGAGATGCGGCTCCACTTGTGGCCCAGGACAGATGTGCTGGGTGGTTTCGGGCAGGTGGCTTCCCCTCTCTGGGGCCCGGTGACCCAAGCACTCACTCGGTGGGTGTGCCGGCAGAGGCTCAGGGAGGGCTTGACTGGGGTTGAGGCACGGTTGTCCTCATGGAGGTTCTAAGGCCAACGCAGCCTCCCCAGCATGGGCCTGCCAGGCCTCCCCTGCTTCCTATAAACAACACCCAGGCGCTTTCCAACAGGCTCGAGGGGGAAATTCTAGGCGGGGCCTGAGGAGATGAATTATGGATCTGCCCTCCTGCAAGCCTGGTCCCAGCCAGAAGGAGCTTGGCTGTCCCTCCCCCAGCCACCGCGCCAGTCCCAGCCGCTCTGAGCCCGGGGAGGCTGCGTGTCCAGCCGCAGGCAGGACACTCAGCAGGTCCCCGTGTCCCCAGGGCCCTGCGCTTGTGACAGCGGCCGGCCTGGCAGGGAGCGGGTGGCCACCATGGCGAAGGAAGAGGACGATGAGAGGAAAGCCAAGAAAGGAAAGAAGGGGAAGAGGGCGCCGGAGCCGGAGAAGCCCAAGCGGAGCCTGAAGGGGACCTCGCGGCTGTTCATGGGCTTCCGAGACCGCACGCCCAAGATCTCCAAGAAGGGGCAGTTCCGGAGCGCGTCGGCATTCTTCTGGGGCCTCCACACTGGACCCCAGAAGACCAAGCGCAAGAAGAAGGCGCGCACGGTGCTCAAGTCCACGTCGAAGCTCATGACGCAGATGCGCGTGGGCAAGAAGAAGAGAGCCATGAAGGGCAAGAAGCCGTCCTTCATGGTGATCCGCTTCCCCGGCCGGCGCGGCTACGGCCGTCTGCGCCCGCGAGCCCAGTCGCTCAGCAAGGCGTCCACGGCCATCAACTGGCTCACCAAGAAATTCCTCATCAAGAAGGCCGAGGAGTCGGGCAGCGCGCAGGCCACACTGGACGCCTGGATGGACCGCTCCGGCTCCCGCGTGGGCTCGCGCAAGCTGCCCTTCCCGTCGGGCGCCGAGATCCTGCAGCCCGGGGGCCGCCTGCGCAGGTTCCCGCGCGCCCACAGCATCTACGAGTCGGGCGAGCCCGTGGGCTTCCTGCCCTTCGAGGACGAGGCCCCGTTCCGGCACTCGGGCTCCCGCAGGTCGCTGTACGGGCTGGAGGGCTTCCAGGACCTGGGCGAATACTACGACTACCACCGCGAGGGTGATGACTACTACGACCAGCAGTCGCTGTACCAGTACGAGGAGGAGCCCTACCGGGGCGCCTACGGCCTCCACGGCCGAGCCTGGCCGCCCTATGACTACCCGCACGGGTACCCGCCCGAGGACCCCTACGACTCCTACGGCCCAGACTACTACGGGGGCTCCTTCTACTCCAACTACGGCTACCGCTATGGCTACGACGACTACGAGCCCCCCTACGCGGCCCCGTCGGGGTTTGCGTCTCCCTACGGCTACTACGACGCATACGCGGGCGAGGCGCAACTGCACGGCTACTACCAGGACTCCTACGCCCCTTCCGACGCGCTTTACCCGCCCTACCCGCCCTACCCGCCCTACGACCTCGCCTACGACCTCCCGTATGCCGGGCCCTACCCAGATACCTACGGGGCTCCCTACCCGGATGCCTACGGGGCGCCCTACCCGGGCGCCTACGCGCCGCCCTACCCGGGCGCCTACGCGCCGCCCTACCTGGAAGCCTACGCGCCGCCCTACCTGGATCCCTATGCGCCGCCCTACAGCGTCCCCTACGGTGCCTCCCATGGAGTCCCCTACGCCGAAGGCATCTATGGTGGCGGGGACCAGGCCATCTACCCCCCCGAGGGGCCCTATCTTCCGTCGGAGCAGTCGGCCTTCCCGTACCCGTGGGTGCCGCCGCCCATCCTGTCACCTCACAACCCGTATGCCCACCCCATGGATGACATCGCGGAGCTGGAGGAGCCCGAGGAGGCGGGCGGCGAGCGGCAGGGCACCTCCTTCCGCCTGCCCAGCGCCGCTTTCTTCGAGCAGCAGGGCATGGACAAGCCCGCCAGGTCCAAGCTGTCCCTCATCCGCAGGTTCCGCCTCTTCCCGCGGCCCCAGGTGAAGCTGTTTGGGAAGGAGAAGCTGGACGTGCCCCTGCCGCCCTCCCTGGACATCCCTCTGCCCCTGGGGGATGCGGACGAAGACGAGGAAGACGATGAGATGCCGCCGCTGCCCCCGGTGCCCTACGGCCACCCCTTCTGGGGCTTCCTCACGCCGCGGCAGCGTCGCATCCAGCGCGCCCTCTCGGCCTTCGGCGCCCCCCGGGGCCTGGGCTTCAGCTCTGACTTCGGACGCCCAGCGCCGCGCCCGGCCACCTCGCTGGCGCGGTTCCTCAAAAAGACCTTGTCGGAAAAGGAGCCCGTCCCGCGGCTGAGGGGCAGCCAGAAGGCCCGGGCGCGAGGCCCGGCGGTCAGGGAGGCGGCCTACAAGCGCTTCGGCTACAAGCTGGCCGGCATGGACCCCGAGCGGCCCAACACGCCCATCGTGCTGCGGAGGGCGCAGGCGCGCGCGCGCAACAACAACAACTCCCGCCGTCCGCCGTCCCCGCCGCGCGCCCCCAGC